AAGATTACAAGTTATTAAAAAAAAACACAGGCCAATTATTTATCATGAGAAGAAGACAGCCTTTTACTTTGCTTCCTAATTCAGAGTTGGGATGTTGATTCAATATTAATTCACAGGAAAAGTGCTTCTCACTTGGGTCACCAGAAGCACTTGGTTTTTCCAGGGAATTAATATCAAACCCTCGAGTCAGTGAGCCTCACAAAATGTACAGTAAATCATTATGAAAGCTGTCAGGGAACTAGCAAGTGTATTAGAACCTTTTTCTACTTGTGCCTTTCTGTCCAAAGGCTGAAACATCACTTCAGTTTCAAAATTATGGAAAAAATGAAGGCTCCAAATAAAAAATCAAGCAAGAAGAAGGCAGACAACTCTTAGCATAAGCTTAAAATCAAAGAGAATTTCAGTTTAAGCACAAATTTTCTGCTTTTTAAAGAAAAGCAACAGTTTGTTCCGTTTGATTAACTGGGATAGACATTAGCATGCTGCTCCTACCACTCCAAGTTCAACAAATCAAGGAAGAAGTAAAAGATTATTTAAATACAGCACTGTCAAAAGATCAATAGGTTAAAAATATTCTCTTTTTTCACTTCCTATGTTAATATCAACTCACACAGTAAAACAATCAAAACCTCAGCTATCTCTAAGGAACATGAAGAATTTCCACTACTTCCTTAGCATTAAGCATTTGCCATCTCAAACACTTCTGCAATCTTTCCCTTAATTTTCAGGCATGTTCAGTTTTAATACACAGAAAACTCTCTTACTGTCTGTTTCCACTCAGAGTTTGATGTAAAGTACAAAACTGATCTGTTGATAAGCACAAGTGCAAAAGAAAACACACATTTTCCCTCTATTTTGAGTTTAAGTATCATTCACTTAATTTCATCTTTTCACTATTAATGATTTACTTTTGCAAAACAAAGACTATGACTGTACCCCTCAGATGGAGCTACAAGATAGTGGCGATATTGGAAACACAGCAGGGAAAACCACTTTTCCATTAGATTGTTAACAGCAAGTAAATTAGGGTAAACCGTATTTTGAAAAATGCAATACAACAATCCCACTGTGTAACTGAACTATTACACAACTGCTTTGTAATCAAACTGTAAATGTAAGGAATGTCAACACTAATGGTGTGGAATATTTTATAATTTCATTAATATTTTGATTCAACACAGTGTAACAGCCCATTCTTTATTTTCAATATATGAACAATCTCTTTTAGCAAAGTATTCAAGTGCAACCTTTTGTGAGTGTTAAGCAGATGCAGTTTTTTTCCTGTGCCAGGAATCACATTCTCATTTATTCTGCTCAGATAAAGAACAAACTCTAAAATACTGATGGATTACAATAATATTAATGTATTTTAAATAATCTAGCTAAAGATTTGGCTACATGTATTTGAAATGTCAGGTAGTTTACGGAACACAAAATTAACACAAATTAAAGGAAGATGAAACCCAGGAAATATAAGCTGTCTTTTCCACTATGGCACATGTTTACTCCTATAAGCTTGTAAGAAATAAGAGACAATCTTTCCCACATAAATATTTCATAATTAGTATAAATTATCGTGTGTAAATTTCAAGCCACTAATGTCAACTGAATTAGAGACTCTTAGATTGTTTAGGAAGCTCTTACTATAATTTGGGCATCTTCAGCCTGGTCGTGAATACTCTGCAAAGCTTTGGACAGATCCTCATCATCTTCAGGAAGACTGAACTCATCATCTGCTGAAACCTAAATGAAATTACATAAAGTATGGAATCAACACATTTTATACACCTTTCTTTCACACTAAAACTGTTCCCACTCCCATTACAACTGCTGAAAGTAATCCCCTCCTCATTAAAATACCATTTTGCCATATGTAAATAAAAATCCTATTACTGAAATATTTTTTATAAATAAGCTGAAATATCTAAAGAAATGTTTTATCTAAATAGAACTTCATATACCTTTAAAAAAGTATTTATTGTTCAAATAAAGGTAATACACAACAATTCAACTAACACTGAGTCTTCTTTTGAAAAATAGATATGCCCTCTTTCATCACTTTATAAAAGGAGATTTGCGTAATTGCCCCCAGGATGTCTATATGATTGATGAAGTAAAAAGAATGAAATATGAACAATCTACCAAAATATATCAGAAGATTATCAACCTAGTAAGTTACCTCTTCATACTGATAATCATCTTTGGAGTCATCTGTTATGGTAATGTCTGCAGGTTTAGTTAAGTCTGGAGCAGCTGGTGCATGTGAGGAGTTCCAACTTAGAAAAAAATATCATAAAATAACCATCTATAAACCTGCTATCATAACCCACACCCTTGTTCTTCTGAACACAAGACTTTCAACTTTCAAGGTTTCCTTCAGCCTCAAGGTGAGCAAGCCCAGTTCCATGCACAGAGACAGAATTTAGGTTTAACTTTTTACAGCAGGTTTGAACACCATTACAAATTGACTCATCAGATCTCAGAAGCCAAGCGCTATTCCAAAATACAAAAGCAGATAAATTGTGCTCTCAGCCAATCATCAGTTTTGAGAGGGGACTTTTTGAACTAGAATTTCCACAGCCTTGTGAGCAGAACTAGCTTCATGCTCTCAGAAAAGACCATTTTTAGCAAATTCAGATGTGTGAGTTCAAACAGCAGCACCTGAGGTCAAACCCTGAACACCACAGGGCCACTTAAAAGAGCTGATACAAATGCTTTAATAATCACAAGACAGTTACAATAAAAATATGAGGAACTTTCAAAACTCAAAAATTAATTTGGAAATTATCTACAGCTCCTTGAAACGCTTTAGAGTAAAATTTTTAATTAAACATAACTACAAATAGTCTAAAATAAAAGCCAAATAAACATATTGTCATCCACTAGACTCACTTCCCATGAAAGAATAATGAAAGGTTTTTATCAGATGCTGTTGACAGCTTCCCTAGGAAATCAGTTAGCCTACAAGTGACCCATGTAAATAAACCAGGAATTAACTTCCAAAGAAAAGACGAGCTGGCAATTCAGTACTTCAAACACAGAAAACAAGAAAAAAAACCAACATGATTTTCCAGCTTTGCACCATGTCACCCAAATCTGAATCATTCACCTAAAAACAGGCCTTCTGCCAGTTTTCACAGTACAGTATATGTAAAAGCACAAAACATAGGTAAATGTATCATCTCCATTCAAGACCACAGCATCACAGCACCAGAAAAACTGAGATAAATTGTATCCATCTGGAAGGTTAACAGCTGAACACCATAACCCCCTGATAAATAATAAATTTTCAAAAATTGGGGATTTTTTTTCCCTCAATTTTCTATTGACCTGACTGTCCTTGTGATCCACTATAGTCTAAACTAATGTGTCACTGCAAACAATTTGCCCACACTAAAATATTACTTAAAAGTCCTGGGGTTCTCCTCCTTTTTTTATTCCTTCCAAAAAAATCATAGCTAGGTGCACTACAAAACAGAGAAATTATTTTTAAAAACTACTGTATTTCTCCACAGTGTTAAATCTGCTGAAGCAGTACTTTTTTAAGCACGCCACACTGAAAACAGCTGTGCAGATTCACTAAGGTAGAAATTGAGGCATGAGCTGCAAAAGGACCCTCTTCCACTTTTTAAAATTGGCTTTATATTGGCTTACAACTTAATTCTAGCAAGGCAGGAAAAATTAAGGTAAGATAGAGTCTAAAGTATGGTTATGTTTAGCCTCTAAAAACATTAGAGCCTCTTGATTTGCAGCTCACAGCTAGAAAAGAGAACAGGTGCAGCTCATCTGGCCTAGTGACAAAAGCAGAATTTGGGACATGTGACCAAAAAATTACACATTTAAAAGTCATAAACTTCCAACATAATTTGCTACAACTATAACGTGGAAAGAATTGGTGTAGTTTTTTGCTCTAAAAGCCACAGCAAAGTTACATCTAGGTTATGTATCACAACCCTCATACTCAGCCATACTCAGTGCAAACCAAAAACCATGAATATCCCAGCAGTTATTCTGCAGTAGGAAATTAAAGATGCACATTTTCCAGCAGCACATTGGGACTGGGAATCTTAATAACAAACCTTGTCCCTCCTCCATAGGTATTTTGCATTTAGTGCAACACAGGGAAGGTGACAAGAGCTTTTCATGCCGGGATTTTAACTCCTGCTCAGGCTGCCCCATCAGCACTGGAGGATTCAATTCCCTCACTTTTCCAAGGGGTATTCAGGAACCTCGACCTTCAGCCAGGAAAGTAAACACCACCTTACAGTGAGCAAGAACCCACTGCCTCTGCAGGGCCAAAACCCCACGTACTCATAGAACTGCTTAAGCTGAAAAAGACCTCTAGGACCGAAGTGTTAACACAGCACCACGTTCACGTTCACAGCTAAACCATGTCCTAAAGTGCAGTATCCACACAGGGCTGTTTAACACTTCCAGGGATGCTGTGGCCAGCGCTGCCCTGGACAGCCTGCTCCAATGCCTGGCCACCCGTTAAAGGAAGAAATTTTTCCTGGTACCTAAACATCCCTGGCCCAGCCTGAGGCCGTTCCCACTCCTCCCATCCCTGTTCCTGGGACCACAGCCCGACCCCCCCGGCTGTCCCCTCCTGGCAGGAGCTGTGCAGAGCCACAAGGTCCCTCCTGAGCCTCCTTTTCTCCAGGCTGAGCCCCTTCCCAGCTCCCTCAGCCCCTCCTGGTGCTCCAGCCCCTTCCCCATCTCCGCTACCCCCTCTCTGGACAGGCTTTAGCCGCTTTTCACTCTCCAGGAACAACAACCCACAAAAAGCACCAACAAGTCGGGGGATTTTTGACTTTTCCCCCCGTACTCTCAGCGCTGCCCTCGCCCCACCCGACACCGCCCCCCCCAAGCAGGTGAGGAGAAAGACCCGGCTGAGGCGGGAGAAGCGCTGAGGAGACGGAGCCCTGAGGCGGGGAACCGGCACCCACAGCGGAGCGGGAGGACGAAGATGGAGGGGGAAAGGCTGGGGAGGAAGAAGGATACTCTGGAGGCTGAAGGCCGCCTCAGAGACCGCCGCCTCAGAGACGGCCGCCTCCTCCGCCATGGCCGCGGCGTTGCCGGGGGCGACCTCTCGCGAGGAGAGGCGCCCGCGCCGCGGCGGGAAGAGACCCGGGGTTAATTGAATTTAAATTAATTTCGTTTAATTCGATTCAGTTTAATGTAACTCAGCGCTTGTAACTGCGGGCGCAGCTCCTGGCGCGTTTGGGACGGCGCTGTGAGGAACGGGGTGTTTAAGGGCGGGCGAGGAGTCTCCCGAGGCTTCCAGGGCGGCCCCTCAGGGCGGGCACCCCCACACCGCCCTTCCTCACGGGGAAGGAAAAACAGCAGAAAACCAGCGAGGAAACCGCTGCAAACTCATAAGAGAGCACTAATATCTTCTGCAGATGGAACATTTTTGCAGCTGGAAGCTGAGCTGAGTCCTCTGGGACCGATTGCTTAAGTCCCTTCAGAACCCAAACTCCAAGGGATCCGAAGAATCCAAGGGATTGCTTAAGTCCCTTCAGAACCCAAACTCTTCTGTGATTCTATATTCACGTTTAAAAGCAGGAGCTTTCCCAGGAAAAAGTTTGGGAGACCAGCATATATTTGTGGAGATCACACGTCACGGCTCCCAGAAGTTTGAAAAAAAAGTTGCAGGATTCGACAGAACAACATCTGTTGCTTTTTCTTATTTTAAGGTAAACTTAGAGGTACCACTACTAAATTTCCATTGAGTTAAGGGGCTTTACATGCAACAGGAGCTCAGAATCAGTGTTTGAATTGCTGTAAAGTAATGGAAATAAGTGCCCAAAGTATCTTGGGGGGGGGGGGGGGGGGGAAGTAATTGCAGAAATTGCAAAAAATTGCTAATGTTTGGGTTGAAAGGAAAGGCACCAGTTTTCCTTGCAGGGTTAACAAAAAAAAAAAAAAAAAAAAAAAAAAAAAAAAAAAAAAACCAAAAAAAAAAAACAAAAAAAAACCAAAAAAAAAAAAAACCAACAAAAAATACAAACAAACAAACAGTAAGCATTGACATATTGACATACAGTCTGAAGATCAGAGCAGATATAAGTGGAGGAAACTGAATTACATAATTCAGTTAAAACTTTAGCCTGGAAAGATACAATCTTGTAAGAGCACCTGCTGCCTGTGAAACTGTTGTTTCTGCACTATGCAGAGATTGTCACGCAGGATTGTCATTCCTCTCCCATGGCAGACATATTCTTGAGAAATGACAAGTGCTTTGGCACTTCCAAAGTCTCCAAATTGTAATAAAAGGACAGTGTTTTGGCACAAGATTGTCACAATGCTGCAAAGATGACAAAAACTGTTGTAGTCCCTCAAATTCTCTCATACACTGCTGTTGAGTTTAATACATGTCAGAGCTTGAACTCAGCTGGTTTCAAGAGGTAGAGGGCAAATGCTGACATACCTTTCTTGATCTTTGATAGTTGGGGTTTTCCATTCCTTCAGATTAAACTGATGTCACCAGCACAATATTCTTTCATCATATCCAACCCACCAGAGGCATCCTGATCTCCAGCAGAGCATCTCAAAAAAAGAATAAGCAGAAGTGGCATCACGAAGCACAACGTCCACCAGTCAGTACTCCTAAACTGCAGAGTGAAAAGCTGATAACACTGTGAAAGTTGGGATGGCTACAACTGAAAGCACCATTCTTTTAGGGAAGTTTCCAATTCCACCCCAAATCACAGGGTAAGTATAACTTTATGTAATACAGGCAGCACAGCTGATTAATCTAAGTTAATACCACTCAATTCTCTCAGCAACGTTTGCTGTTAGCCTTTAGACAAAGAGTTGAACAAACAAAATGCTAAGCAATACCCATCCCTGACTTCTCTCTGCAGGCCTAACTTCTCCCTACAAATTATACACGGGACATCTCTGTCTTACTAAAACATGGAAATGTGTGGTATCCATAACAGAAGAAGAGTGATGAAAGCTTAAAAAGGGCTCAGAAAGTGCTTCAGGGAAGATTATGATTAGAAAACAATTAATAGTGGTGGACAAAAGATCTCGGTCTTCTCGGTTTATTTAAGGAATCACTAAAGATCAATGTCAAAGGGTAAGAAAGGCTATGCAAAGATAGAACCATAAAAAGAGAGTAGATCTTGGTTAGATATTAGGAATAAATTGTTCCCTGTGAGGAGGGTGAGGCCCTGACACTGTCTAGAGAAGCTGTAGTTGCCCCACCCCCGGAACTGTCCAAGGCCAGACTGGACAGGGCTTGGTACAGCCTTGTCTAGAGAAAGGCGTCCCTGCCCAGGGAGGGGGTGGGATTGGATGAGCTTTAAGGTCTCTTCCAACCTAGACCATTTTGGGATTCTATAATACCCAGTAATACAGAGAATTTGCTAAAAGTAAGTCATAACTAAAAGCAAAGAGCCATTTTTTTAGCAAATCCAACTGATTTTCAAGAATCCAAAATGATTTTAAGAGCCACAGGGTTCTTTTTTAAACATTATATTCTCCATTCTGACACCAGCTAGTTCAGGACATCCTATGGCTCCCATTTTCAGAAGTCAGAGATAGTCAGTGCACTTGCTATGAAAAAAAGTTGAAGCAAAAAAACAGCCAATTCCATAATATATGGACATTTGCCAGTATTGTAAAGGACCCATAGAGTTTATTTGATTACTTTTAAATACAAGTCAGTTGGTCAAAGATTGTTATTTCCCAAAGATTTAAAGCTTTGTTTGGACACAAACAAGTTGGGTTGGCAACTTCTAAACTCTTTGTCACCCCACTGTGACATATAAATGGCATCATCGTACTGACATTTTCCTTCAAAAGGAATAACAAGCCAACTAGTTTCTCTCTACCTCGTTCAGAGCCACCTGCCATAAATACTTTGTATTTGATTATTGCTAAGCTGAATCTCAAGCACCCAATTCACCCCGGTTTATGGGCTCATAACAGTCTGGGTTATAAATGATTATCATCTCCCAAATGGCAGCAACCAGTGCTGTTACTGTATCCCATAACTTCTCATGAGAAAGACATGGAAGCAGCATCTGCTATGGCTTGAGCATTTCATTAGACAGGCTGTTTGCTTTTCTCACAGAGAAAAGACTGAGGTGTGTACCTCCACCAGATCTGCCTGATCAATTGGCCATTCAAGGTAGAGGATTTAAAAGAGATCATTTATTAAAATTGGACAAACTGGAATGCTCCAGAAGCATTGCCTTTGCTCCCAATCCCTAAAAGCCAGGTACTCTTCCCTTTATACCACCACCTGAAAGACTGAGAGACTCTCCTTGCATTTAGAGCAAAATATCCCCTCCTGCTGAATTCAACAATCAAATTGGCTGCAATTTTGACAAGTGGAATTAAAAAACCAGAACAACCACGTGAGCTACTTTCAGTGACTTTCCCTCCCCTGTAGGAACACATCCAAAAGGTTCAGTATATGCACTTCATCACAGCAGACAAGCAGCCAATGAAGAATTATCTGCCCCACTGACTTTCACACACCCATTTCTAATTGTTCTTCAGCGCAGCTTTTGGGGAGGAAGGACGAGGCAATGTCAGCAATTCAGCTTTCTGAAAGAGCACAAAGCGTGGCTCTAACAGCACTCTCACGATGACAGCCAAGAGGCCATTGTCCACACGGTCATGGCGGAGCACGGGACCACAGCTGGAAGCCAGAATCAGTTGGCAAACATCTTGTTCCAGCTTCTGCTGTGCCATCTGGCTTCCAGAGAGGTGACTGACGTTAAATGTATTTTCTCTGTATTGCCATCTGGCAGCTGCTTGTACAACAACAGAGTAACATGCAGAATTTGGCTAAGACTTATCCCAAGAATCACATCAAGGATACTTGTAACACAGACTCTGAAACGGAAAAAAAGGCTTACAAGGAAAGTTTTGTCAGCTGCAGGCATGACAGGCACAGAGTATTGCAGGCGGGTAAGAGGGATTGGGAAATTATATATCCCTATGTTTTGCATGTGTTTATTTTACAGAGTTCACATAAAAGTTTCTACAGGGAAGGAAGGGACATGCAGGCAGGTTTCCAAAGGACACAAATATTGTATCCAGTGAAATGTCTATTCTTGAGGAACATCAGCACATTTGCCATGCTGTGGAAGCACAGTCACTTTCCCAATTTTAGAAAAGCAGGAGGGTTTTTTTCTGCTGTAATGTTATATGCCAAAGGTACTTCTGATAAAGGAAGGAGAGTTAAGGAATTGATTAGTACAAACACAGTCTCAAAAAGAGAGACTGCTACTTTAACAGAAATTTCATCTACAAATGTCAGGATTGCCAAATGCAGTGTAACTACAGTGTAATAATACCTGTAATGCCAGGTCATTTTTATAAAGGTCACATTTGCAAGCCATAGTAACCTTGCTGAAACAGAATAGGGTGCTTTGAAAAAACAGGGTAGGATTTTTCATAAATATGATCCCACGACAGCTTAAATCAATCAGCTTTGTACTCTACCTCCTGCTGGGCACTCCTGCTTTTTTCCTTGCTCTTGTGTTGGTGCTCATATGATTCTCAAATAATTTAAACCTCCAAAACTGAATCCTGATGATTTTTTTTTTTTTAAGAGGGGGGGTGTTAGGTTTTTCTGTTTGGTTACTTTTTTAAAAGAGGAAAAGTAACACTAAAATGCTAGAGGTTTGGTATTCAGAGTTGAGCTGAAGCGACTAAATGTATTTTGCCTCTACTCTGTAAGAAGAACATTCAATATATAAGGCTCTGTTTAATTTCCAGGTATTTCTATAAATTAGATGTAGGATACATTAAATCTCTTTAAAAAGGGTTTGAGTGGAGATCATACAAAAACAAAAATGTCTGTTTTCCGACACATCAGCAGTTCTGCTGATGGTCGTTCTCCTAAGCATTTCATTGAAGCACAATGAGCATTAGGTGAAATACTAGTTACACTACTTAATCACCAAATACAAAACCTCGCTTTCTTAAGTACATTTCTAAAATTCAGTCCGATTTCTGGCTTCAGTGTCACACAGCTCTTTCATAGGAAAGAAAGAGACAATAATCTGTTTCAAAACAAACAATGTAAGTGAAAACAGAAGTATGAAAAGTTTTGACTGCACTTAGAGAAAAAATTGCGAATCAACAGTAGAGCATTTTGTCAATAATCCAGCAAAGACATCAGTACAACATGAGCCCAGGGCACGGCTCTGAGGGGTGCAGGTTTCCCACTGCTCTTGCCAAGAACTACAGCCCTCACACCTCTGGCTGGTGTTGCCCTTGAAAATTATCAGGAGCATTACATTGCCTCTGCCTGTTCTAAATTTGGGAGAATTTCTGCATCGCAGATAGAATAAATAGTGCTAAAAGACAAGACACTTGCCACATAGCAACTTTTTATTTTACTAGTGGGTGGAGCGAGCAGTGTTCTCTCTAAACTCCAGTTTTGATAGTATTTTTACAGCTTATATGGACTAATGGTCATTGGTTCCTGATAATTAGAGGCTTTTCGCTTAATATGTTCTTCTCCCCTTTGAAATTAAGTTTAGTTAATGTTCTCTTCAAGGCAACTGTGACCAGAAAGCAGCTAATACACTCCTACTACAAGTTAAGAAAAAAAAAAACTCCATAGTAAAAGGAAAAGCCACCACCCTTAGCACAAAAGACCAGAGAAAACAAAGTGCTTTATTTTTTGCTAGTCTGTACTTAGCAAGAGAAGCAAGAATTGAGACACCACCACATCAGAAAACATGAGCTAAAGGGCAAGCAGCAAAAAAGCTTGCAGAAACTGGTCCTTTTTCTCATTTTACCATGCTTCCAAGGGCTTCACTGCTTGTTACCCAGGTGATTCATCTTCCTGTTGGAAGTCTTAAGACTCATACTAATAATAAGCACATGATAGAATCATTTTAGATGGCTTCCTGGTAGTTTTGCTTTGTTTTTGGAGGTTATTTATGTACATGCTCACATTAAAACTATACATGAAAAAGTTTTCTCTGTCAAAATCAGATTCAAAATTTACATAAGGGAATACATCTACCAAACCCACAAATTATTCAAATGGTTGTGTGCTTCAACAACATTTTCTCCCTGCACCCAATCCTGTCTTTTATCTTTAGTAAGATAGAGTGCAGTCTCCTTCACTTTCTTCTTTCTTGTTGCCCCAAAAACACTTGACTGCTCTTTGATGCTTTCCTTGCTTGGTCTCACTCCTCTCACTCCTCTCTTTTCTTTTTTTTTTTTTTTTTTGCTCTAGCTTTCCCTATTCTGACCAACCATTTATATTTTAGCAACTTTTACAGCCCTCTGCCATTTCTTTTACCTGTGTTTTCAGAGATAGACCTAGAATAAACTGTTTATTCTTGTTCTAAAAAAACAGGAAATTATATCCAAAAAATGGTCCAAGAGGTCACAGAATTTGATGCAAAATGGGCAAAGAGTATCAGGGTATTTGTAGCCAAAAGCAACATTTGCTAGCAGAGCTTTTAGCCAAGCCTTTCCTCAGCTGCTTATAGCTTGTTACTTTGATGGAGACCAAGCATGGAATGCTAAGTTCCTCAAGCATTTTATTTGGTTTTATTGCAGTGTCATTTTTTTTCATATACAGAATATGAAAATATAAGTAATTTCAAAGTGTCCACCTGTAATCTTTCTTAACTGAGCTGAGGGTGGCAGTGTATACTGTGCTTTCTCTAGCAGTATGCTCTCTAATACACAATGAAGACTGCACTAGCTTTATATCCATCTCTTTGCTTTGTTATCATTAACAGAATTATAGAACTCTGGCCAACAAGTCTATAAAAATGCACAATTTTGGATTTTTTTTTTTTTTTTAGAAAAACGGAAACTCTTCTGTGTCAAATACTGATTGTCATTTGTGATGTGAATGAAGTATTTCATGGCTTTCATTTTCATATGCATCTGATGAAAGCAATAGTACAATATTGGCACCCTATATCTAAATGTCAAAGCATTGCTTTGTGGGGCTTTTAATATTTTCTTTAAATATTGAAGTGCCACAAAATTGAAACCTGGAAATGCTATGTTTAAGTTCTTTCCTTTTATTTCCATACTACTTATAGTACAGCCATAACTTTTGCTGTCGAGCCATTTGCTCATTTTTGTATAGAACAGAGCGAGCAAATGTTGGTAATTCAGCTTCTCAAACTAGACATAAATCTCGGGCACCCTGTGCTGCATTTGAAGATGCCCAAAGTGGTTTGAAATGGACTAGCTCACACACTGGAAGCTTACCTTAATATAAATTATTCTCATAATTATACTTCAGATATGGTCCCAGGAACTTGGAGCCAAACACTTAATATATGGTGAGAATCTAAAGAGGCCTACAGGGACACAGGAACCTGAACCCAAGAGGCTTTCACTGACTCTAAATCCTTACAATTGTCTCTGCCAACTTGTCCCTTTCTGGAAAAGGCAATGTGTCCAAGAGAGACTTGCTGCATCTGGGCTCCCAGTGGTGTCCAGTCCACCTCCTGGGTCCAAGCCCCCAATCAGGATGTCCTTTCAGATAAACTCTTCCCAGTGCTGCTTTGGCCAGAGAACACATCTCCTTGCTCCGTGTTGATTTCTATCCTCCCCTCCTGAGGCTGTGAGCTGTCCAAACCAGGCATTTACAAGACTGTGGATTCCTCTCCACTGCACAAGCACCAAGAGAAATGCAGCCTTACTTTTAATACCAGCTTACTCCACTGAAAGTTAAAATGATACAGCTATTTAGGGAATACAAAATATATCAGTTTAAATTGACCTGACTTTAAAACAAACACCTCCCTGTAAAGGCATTTCTGACCCTTCAAAATATACAGCTGAGTTCAAAAGAGAAAATTCATCATTTCCTCACATAAATTCACCTTTAAACTTCTGAACGCATATTCAAACTTTACTGAGTATCTTCACAGGCCAGCATGACCATCTTTTCCTTCACACAAGAACCTCAGCACACCTTGCTGGGCTTTGTAGGGTAGATGACTCTAGAAATGGTTCTGTTCAGAAGTGAGTGTTCAGCACCAGCTAGGTGAGGTGTGGTTCCCTAGGTATTGTCCTTCCACAGTTCAAACCCCACATCAAAGCATGGCTCCTTATAGCCCATTCTTTTGGCAGTGGGAAATCTAAACCAAAGCATTCACAGAAAAGCAAAGTATGTGGAGTAACCCATCCATATCCCTTTTGACATTTCCATCAGAGATGTGCAATTTTCACTTCACATTTTTCATCCAGTTTTTTTAAAGCACAGCCAACATTAAACCTTTACAAGCTAGGGACTACAAATCAGTTATGTCTGAACAGATGACAAATGGCTACAGTTGCAATTACCACCCTTGCAGAAGGCAAGATCTCTGATCTCTTGCTTGAAAAAACCCAAAATAACCCCAAACAGCAACAAGAAAAAAAACCCTAATGACAAAAAAAAAACCTAAGCCAGCCTCGTGGACAAAAGCATCTCTACACATGAAGCTGGGGTTCTAAGTGAGCTAGAATTTTTGATGGAGTACTTATATGTCCAGACCCCAAGTCCTTCTCCCTCTCTCCTGTTCAGTAGGGAACATGCTTGTATGGCACAATGCAAAGTACCTGTGTGTCTTCAGCTGTCCTGGGAGACTGCACATGATGTCAGACCCCTGGTGGGCCATTAGCTGGAGTGCTTCTGAGCCTGGACAGCCTTTCTTTTGCACTTCAGTTGGCAAGGCAGAGCATCTTGCCAAGTCTTCACCCTCCTTAGCCCATGCTGGGTGATTTCACAGTGAGCCAGCAATTACTCAGACTGGCATGTTGTCAGGTCATGTGTCAGATATATTTATCTCATTTACAAGCAGAAGATTCCCCAATGAATAATTCAGATAGAAATAATCACCTTCATGGTCCATTTTCCCAACCCCAGGCTCTGTCTCTAACAAGCACCCACTGAACCTGGCAAAACATGTCAACTACAGAAGGAGCAATTTAAAAATCCCCCCATTATTTTACTTATTGCTAAAGGCAAACAGCAATCTGTTGGCCCAACCCTCAGTGAAATCCCATGAGGTTTTCCTATCAACTTAAAATGGAGCTGGACTGAATCTAATAATCTGAACCCATGAAGTTTATCATTCACAGGCTCTCATCATCACACGTAAAATGATGCACCTTTTGGAAGCTACTTGTTATTTTCTACTCACCAGCCTCAGGGCACACAGGTTTCCACAAAACATAAAAAAATAGCAATAGATACGCTATTATATTGCCCAGCAAATCTAAGGCTAAAGGAGGTAAAGTTATGTCAGCAATAGTTCCTTGATCCTTCATTTTTTTTAATAATATTTGCCATACTTTGTAAATCCATGGCTAAGTATCTTTTCTCCTCATTGGTGCATGAATCTCAATTATAAAATTATTAAGATGGTGCAGAGAATTTATTTCTTCATCTGTACACTATCCCATGGGTTACCTTACTTTGTGCAAACAAAACAGCAGAAATTTAGGTAATTAGATTGTGTGGCACAATTTGTGTTAAATAGCAACACTGATGAAAGTGTTAAAACCTAACCTATTCCTCCAGCCTGTTTTTTCATGCTGAGAATGGCTGATGAGATCTGTGTGATTGTGACACCCAGCCCAAATCCCAGTATCTGAAGGAAGATGTGTAGGAGCAAATACTAGTCCATTTTTTCTCCTAACTATATCAGCTAGTACAATTAAAAAATATTATGATTCTTCCCAAACTGTGCTTGAAGATCAGCAATTTTAATCACAGGAGGAAAGCAGTAATAACTTTTAAACTTCACACACTAAATTATGTCACAGACAGAATAGATTTTGCCTTTATGGAAAGAGGCACAACAGAGGATTGGTCTTCTGTTAATTTCTACGCTGTCTAACTGGACATTTTTTCAGACCAGACATCTCACTTGCTTCAATTTCCAGAATCCACCACAAGACTCCCTGAAGGAAATTTGGCTCAGAGCAGGATGGCACCTGAACTGGACAAAATTTTCTGCCCACATCTCCAGCTGCAACCCTGTTCATACTCCCATTCACCTGTGAGATGAAGGTGAGTGCCCTCCATCCAACTGGAGCTATTTCCAGTAAGCCCAAGTGAGGAGTTCAGTCTGTATATGAAAAATCTTGTGATCATTAAACACTTTGCCTGTTCCATCATTACACAGAACACAATTCTTAATTAGCTTTTGATTATCACTCCCATTACAGTAAATTAATAATAACAAGTAGCATTAATTCTCAGCATTGCTGAAAGGGGTCCCCTTTTCTAGGTTTGATAACTGTACCAGACACACAGACCAAAAGCCTCTCTGTAAAAATCCAGAGTGCACTGACATTGGGAGCTGGAAACGAGCTCTGGTTCCAGGTTCATGGATGGACTTTTCTGAGTGTTTATTCTTCCACATGTATGTAAATGTAGATCTCAGTTCTGCAGTTTTAGTCCACCTTGGAGTTACTAAGCATGATGGAATTTCATTGCAAATATAATTTTATAGAGGCATTGCTTGTTAGGATGAAGCTTTGTTCACCACAGTTAACCATACTCAATTCATCATGCACCCACCAGACCATAAATCTGCTAATTAAAGAGACACATCTCCAGCTATAGTATTTGGACAGTGCCTTCCTCCCAGGCATGGATTCAGTGATGTTTCTCTCAGTGCACTGTGTCAGCTTGATGCTTTCACTGGTCACAGCTAATTAGGACTGAGTGAGCTGTGCTATTGTAGCTCTAAAACGCTGATGTTACAAGCAGCTCAAACCCAACACAGGAGGCTGAGAGGAGCCTCCTGAAGGCACAGCAGTCTCCATAGCAGCCTCCCTGCTTCCCTGACCATAGTCACCTCTTTGTGCATTCCCCCTAGATTTGTCCAGGAGCAAAGACAAAGCACAACTTGGACCAGGCTCAGTTGATTTCAATTCCAAGACTCATCTGCTGCAATGTGCAGTGGATCATGTATGAAAGCTTGGTAGGACAGGAGGTCTCTATCTGAACCATACAGAAGGGACCATTTGACTTGGTCACCATTAAGCCACATGCCATTATCAATGCTGAAAGCCTGTGAGCACTGCCAGCTTTGCCTTTAAAATTCCCTGCTTTTCTGTAATTTTATCAAGAATAATAAGAGCCCTTAATGGTGATATTTATAATCTTTGTCTGATCCATCCTCTTTGCTCCTTAGCCATTACCACATAAAGATCCTTACTTCTGCACAGGGAATTTCTATTCCAACCATGTCAATTCCTTTAACAGTGCATTGTCTGATCCTTTATTAGAGGGAAGATTTCAGATCTGTTAAAATCAGGAAAAGATCCTATGGGTGTCAATGGTCTTTGTATTAGGACCTCAAGAAAACTTTTTCCTCCTGACAAAGCAGAGTAAATTTTCACAGACCAAGCATTGTTGAGGCAATCTATTAATACTGAAAATCAAACATTTACAATTCCTTCCCTTCCCATCTTCTCAGGTGTTGCCACATCAACTTATCCCCTGTGGCAGTGATGAACCCTGGCACCAAGAGCACACACATGTTGTCCACAGCCAAAGGATCCTCAGTGATCCTCTTACAAAAGTCAGGTCATTTCTAAACTTCTCCAATCATCCCAGAATGTCCTCTTAGTGAGCAATTAAAATTATTCACTCTCTTTTTTTTTTTAATATTTGAAAACTTTTAAACTAAAAAGTACTTCTAAATTTTCAGGTATTTTGGTCCAAAGGGTGAGGCTATTTTGCAGCACACGCTTTGCATTCATTGTGGTATTTCCCCAAGGATGTGTTGTGCCACCCAGTTTCCCTCCCAACCAGCAATTTCACCAACTGACAAACTATAAGAAGGGCTTCTTTTATAGAATGAAGAATCAATAGCTGTCTACTTGGATAGCCTCAAAAAGTGCTTAACTTTTAATTGAATGCTGAAAAAGAAAATGCAAAGCACAAGAGCTCAAAACAGCATGAAGCCTGCATAATTATCTTTCTCCTTGCAGTTCCTCATGTGGGCTGGAGTCTAATTAAACACATGTGCAGGCTACAAAATGATTTTCACAGATATGTCTTTTGTCAGTTTGCAAGGGGATGTAAGCAGAAGGAAAATACCAGCAAGGAACAAGAGCCACAGCCAGCTGTCTGATACTGTCATTTGCAGTGATACCTTTGCTTTGACTTCAGCCATCTAGAGCAAAGACAAATTAGATTTTGCATCTGCTTTGCAATGAGACAAAGTTCAAGACAATGGTGAACTCGGGCTTCTAGAGTGGTATAAGCACACATACAGGGGTTATGAAGCACTTTGATGCTGACTTCATGCTCTATACAGATATATTTTCATTATACAGCTACCTACCCTAACATGAGCCATTACATAACACAGAAATAAATTAAAATTAGCACTTTTCTTCCTTCTGGTGCAGAAACACAAAACCAAGTAAAGCTTTTAATCTTAAAATCTCTTCTTTACCATTTATCATGTTAAAACATGATAAAAGAGCCATTAAAAACATGTCTGTTTTTTAATGTAATACTTGTATTTTTCCAGCACACAAGACCTACCTCCCTCTTCTCCAGAAGAAAAAAGATTTCAGCCTGTTCACCAGGGTCTTAAATCATGTCTCTTTTCACATCCAAAGGAAAAGCACCTGCCCAGTCTGGCAGGATTGAATTAAAACCCAGCAACCGTTGCCCTAGTAGGAGGAAATATTATTAACTTGAATTCATTCACATCAGCATTGATCAGAAGCAGTTACTGAGTACCAGGAAGATACTGGAATGTCAGTACATGGCACTCAAGACCAGTGTAATTACCACAGAAATTAAGGATGCTGTGATCAGTCCAAACAATGGTGTGCAATTATAATGGAAAGTTCTGATTTCTGGATTTCATCCCACATGCACTCTATGAAGGCTCTGACATCCAAAGGCATCTGTGAGTCTGCAGTCCCCAAAAAATTGTCAGCTACTCCATAAACTGTAGCTTTTTTTTTTTTTTAAAGTACATTTTTAAGGTGATGATGAAAATCTTCAAACAGTATTTCCCACCAGTGAAGCACTGCTCAAAAATGGTGCTGCTCCAGGGTGTGCAAATTAAAATGAAACTTTCAGATGTGGCAGAATATGGCTGTGGCAGAATAGATCAATGCCCCTCTAGAATCCCAAGAGCTCTGGTGGAGCAAGACTGGAAGATTTTGGATGTGTTGTCAGTCTCTCAAAAAGCCATTAAACTTTTAGATGCCGAAAATCCTGAAATCCCCCAAGCAGAGGGATGGCTTCCTGAAAACATTTACTGTAAGAAGATGGAAGGGGTGAAATCTTCCAAGATAAATGATCCTTTCTCATCCTTACCAGCATTTGCACTCCATCATCATTTTAAGGCCTCCAACATAAATAAATGCACCACAGAATCCTGTCTCTGGTTCTCCCCCATTTTGCCACTCTTCTTTTCTGCCGAACATTCCCGCTCTCTCTCCATGGCTGGGGAGGCACAGGAGGGGTTGTGGGGACACAGCATAGGTGGATGACTGGTTTCTTTTGCCCTTACTCAAGTGCTCTCTGGATGAAGCTCCTTTCATCAGCATCATTGCACCAGACTCCAGAAGGAACTTCCTGTCGCCAAACTGCCTCTCTCCCCTTTGCAAACCACTGAAAGCAGGAGGGGACAGCGGTGACAAGAGGGCTGGCTGCTCACATGTGTCCTCACCGCGGCAAACACCACGCTCGGGTTCAGCCCAGCGGACACCAGCTGAGCTGACACATGTGAGCTGCCTGGGGCCACCTCAGGCCGTCAGCTATCCCAGAGCTGTCCGGGACTCGTTCTGATTTCAGGTGTCCCAAGGCACAGCTGTCCCCTGCTTGCCCAGCCCTTGTAGCTCAGCTCCCATGGGATACACAGCTCCTGCCAGCGCATCCCTGGCCGCCGCCAGTCCCCATAGCGCGGCCAATGCTGCCACCCGAATGCGAAGCAAAGAATTATCTGGCCAGCAGGAGGAGAGGGCTCTGTCCCTGTCCCTGCTCCGAGTCACCTCAGGGAACCAAGCTGAGGGCGTGCCTGGAGGCGATTTTGTCCGTTCGTTTGCAGAGATTTAAGAATAGGCATCAGCGGCCTCCTGCAAGGCGCAGGAGTTTCTCGGAAAGGCATCCCAGGCTGGGAAAAGGGATGCACAGTGTTAGAGGTACAGCCCTGGCTGATGGGGAGCAGGGAGAAGAGAGGCCATTCGCCCTTCTCAGCCCCTGAGTGGTCAAACAAAGAATTATTAATTTCTTATATGCTTTTTCTCACAGTAATATGGTGTGAAAAATCGTTGAAGAGAAACCTTCAAAGTATATTTGGCAGAGCATTAAACTGATGGGAAAAGACCACAGTCATTTTTATCCATCCTAAATCATTAGGTGACAGGATTTAAAAAAAAAAAAATCCTAGGAGTATGCAGAATAACTGGAACAAATGCTGTTGCCTATTAGTTGAATATTTAGTCTCTGGGAAGGCCTCGGTAACGGGTGTCCGGAGCAGCGGGGAGGCACAAGGCAATGCTGACATCTACTGTCGGCAGCCCCGAACCGCCCGCACCTCCGGCCCGCAGCCGCGCCAGCGCCCGGAGTCCCGGCTCCGGCTGGGGCCGAGCACACGCGTCAGTGAACCGAGGAAATACACCCCCGGCCATGATGTTACAGCCCCAGAGAACGAGAGATCCCAAGCGCAAATATTTACAGAAATGTGTATTGCACTGCTCTCAATTTTGTTGCTGGGCTAAGGCACCTTCAAAGTACATATTCTCAGAGCATGGAAACATTTGCTTTCTTTAGGACACCCACAGGACTTTGGTGCATTGATTCCCTCCTCCTTCTGGACTTATTTTCTCTATTCAATTTTACACTGTTCCTTTCATCCAATTAGCACTAAAAATCTTCCCCCTTTTTTTTCTTTTGTTTTTGGTTTTTTTTTTCATCATGGTGCAGATAGAAAACATGTTTTATTCCCTGCAGCAAGAAAGCATAAACTGAAAAAAAAAAAAAAAAAAAAAAAAAAAAAAAAAGCCCTGAAGATTACAAATGAAACTTAT